TATATGATACTTATTCAGTCTCTCTTTCAAACTCTCAAACTGGAGTTGGTGATTGTTGGAACAGTGGAAAACCAGCAAAGATTGTTCTGTCGAGTTTAATTTAAGTGTGTTTTGACATTTTCAGCGAGCTAAAATGACTGTTATCTGACTGGAGTCTGGTGGCTTTGAGGAGAGCATATTAATAATACATTTTGCACGTTAATAAATTATAATAACTGTCCAAATACCTGTTGATTTAATTTGCAATGTATTCACTTCAAAGCGCGTCACATTCCATCGCACCAGAAAATGGAAAAAAAATTATAGTTTTTCTACATTATTGTCATGTTTCCATCATCATCTGCCGATCGGAGCTGGAACCGATTAATATTTGTGACTACCGCAGAGTCATTTGTCCCAAGAATGAATGCCGACTGTGACCTTTACCACTGAAGACAAAAACCAGATGTTAGTGGGTGTTAGTGGGGGTTTTCCTTGTCCATTGGGAAAGGGTCTTACGTTATCACACAGACCAAAAGACCATTTTTGCCCTTAAAACTTAAGTCTGGAGGTTCTGGTGGTGAATAACGCACTGTGTCCTCAATGAGCCTGTCTGTTATGTGTTAACATGACTTCCTCTGTCTTTGTGTGTTTAGACTCACTCTTCTGCTGACTGGGAACATTATTGTGTGTGTGTGTGGGGGGGGGGGTTTCAGTACAGTTTTAACTGTTGCCCGCTGAATGGCACATTGTGAAGAAAAAGCCCATGCATTAGGGCAGCCCTGTTTAACAAACCTGTGACATCACTATTGGACATAGGAGCCCTGTTCTCCACATAATAGAACTATTGAACCCCCCCCCCCGTCACTAGCCATCACTGTCCATGGCACACATGGCACACACTCTCTGGCAGTTAACCCGTATGCGGAAAAAAAAACCGTCACCTGTTGCAGCTTAGTGTCTGGCCTGAATATGGGACCCGTCGGGTAGTTATTGGTCCCAGGAGTGCATGGGGAGACCGAGATAGAGGGAGTGTGTGTGTGTGTGTGTGTGTGTGTGTGTCCTTGACATGTTTGGCACCAAGCCAGGGGAGAAGAGAAAATCAACTGTACCTGACCAGCTGTGTCATACAGTCCCAGCAAGTACTGCTTTCCACCGACGTTGACACTCACTGCGAGGAAATGACAAAGAGCATGGTGAGAGGAGGAAGGGAAGGGGAGAGGATGGGGGGGGGGGGGGGCAGAAGGGGGGGGGGGGAGGGGTCCCCCCCAACCCCTCTCTGCTATGAAGGAGGCAAACAAGTGGTTTTGATTATAGCAACAGATGCAGGCCAATGCAGTTGGGGGGAAGAGTGGCAGAGGAAACGGGGAATTCACTCACTCTTATTAGATTTGGTTTCACTAGGCTACACAAACACACAGACTAGAAGCAGATCAACATGACGTGATGCTATTATTAAACGCCCATAGACCCAGTAGATTATGTATTCCTACCTGCATAATGATCAAAGACTGTGGGCACATACTCTTCTGGAAAGGCGTCGTTGGCATAGCTCATCAGGAGACACGTTTTGCCCACCGCACCGTCTCCCACCACGACGCATTTTAACATGATAGTACCGGTTCCGTTAGCCATGGTCCCGACCTTACCATCATCACCATCGGCCCCCCGACGCACTGTTGTCCTGACCCTAACCTCCTCCTGCTCCTCCTGCCGTGGCCGCTTCTGCTGCTGCTGCTGGGCGGTGATCCCCGCACGGCGGGCATCACCAGCGTCGGAGGCGGACCGCGCGCCGCACAGAGTCGGACTGGAACTGCATCTTTCACCACCACCGGTCACAGTTGTAGCGTCCTCCCCAAAAAGTGACCGTGAAGTGGGCCGGCAGACAGAATGAACCCCTCAGTCCTGAGAGGTGTTAATGCGGGGTTTTTCCCCCTAAAACCGCCTCTCTCACAGCACCGCGGGTGCCGCTCCGTTGCTGCCGCCGCTCCGTCGTGCGTCTCTTTCTCTCTCTCTCTCTCTCTCTCTCTCTCTCTCTCTCTCTCTCTCTCTCCACGGTGTGGCCCCCACGCCTGTGCTCTCTCTGTCGCTGCCTGTGCGCACTGTGCTGCTACCGCTGGTGGACAAGGTGGGTGTGCTTGCTGGAGAGGCGGAGCTTGGGTTTGAAAACGAGGGGCTCTGGATAAAGTACACTCCGCCTGGTGGGGATGTGTGGACCGAGGACTGTGAGGAATTACATCATACATTTAAGAAAGCTAATATGCAAACATTGGCCTACATTCTATTAGTCCTTATATAGGACTATGAGAAGCGCGTCGCCCCACAGGAGATAAAACAGTATGCTGGAGATGCTAATGAGTAGGACCACACACACCATAGGGCTCTGTTGGACTATAACAATAATAATAATAACTTTATTTATATAGCACCTTTAAAAACAGAGTTTACAAAGTGCTTTGACAGACAAAGCATTAAAAGCAAGGCAATAAAACAAAAGACAGTTCACCAGTGAGGCCCAACAAAGCAAGACAAACTAAGAGTTAAACCCTGATAAAACAGATGAAACAATAAAAGCAATCCATACCATAAAAATAAATAAATAAATAAAATAATTTTGTAAAATAAAATAATTTTGTAAAGTAAAATAATGTCAATAGTAACTTAAAAATAATTTTGTAAAATAAAATAATAATATTAATAATACAATTAAGCAGTGAGATGAAGACGTCACATACAAGTAAAAATAGGTTTTAAAAAGTGATTTGAAAGAGATTGCTGATTCTGAGAGCTTTATCTCCTCAGGCAGGTTGTTCCAAAGCCTTTTAGGCTTTAGGCTGATACAGTTTATAGTTTATAGTCTAGATACAATAAGTCCACACAGGAATATCGTGGCTTTAACGTCCCCCTAAACCCCACTATAAGTAACCTAAAACTCCGTCCCTAAATAAAGACAATAGTGATGTTATCTTGATTTCACCTTGGCTAGACGTGCATCTTCAGACAGTAAGCACACACCTCGCCTGCAATGTCGAAACTTCAGAAGTCTTCTAAATTTAGGGAAGTCTCTGTGTGCTTCTCACATGACTTTGAGGTTGAGGAGATGAATGGATAAACAGATAGACACATGCTGTGCTACTGTTTGTGTGTGTGTGTGTGTGTGTGTGTGTGTGTGTGTGTGTGTGTGTGTGTGTGTGTGTGGATGGTTGTGAGACAGGAGCGGGGAGCTGCAGATGGAGACGCCACAGGAGGAGGTGTGTGTTTGGGAAAGAAAGAGGGTACAGATACAGAGATTTGACCTCTGCCTTGTAGTCGACCAGGTGTGTGCTGTCTCCTCGAATTAGCTCACTTATAACTTCAAAGCATGTGTCACTACACATGGAAAGGAATGTGCACACACACACACATATGTCCTTGTTCCGTCTCTCTTAATCTCCCTGGTCTCTAAGCCAAGTGTTCCTAAAGCGAGTGCCTGCTATCCGGGTTGGGGGGACGGCTAAAGAATGTGTAAAATAAGATAACAAATGAAGACATCTTGACATAATCAAGTCAGTTGAGGGGGCACTTTCTGGTTTACTGACGAAAATAAACCAAAAATAAGTGCAGCAATTGAACTTAAATACAATAAAAAATCGAACTGCCAATATTTTAAAAGTTCTGTAAAATACGGATATAATAAAATACTAAAAATACCTTTAATACATTACACATGCTGATATTGAATACTATTACATTTTCTATTTAAATTCATACAGCCGTTTGCTGTAAAAAAATAAATAAATAAAAAATCAGCCGAGTCACAGTACTGCTACTCTTTTTATAGCCTTTTTCTCTGTTTCCTGAAACTAAACTCTGAGTCTGTCTATAGGCGGATCTCTTGGCTGACGGTCCCTAGACTGCCGTGAGCTGTCCAATCAGCTGCGATGAGAGAGAGGGGGGGGTAGGGGCGGGGCCGAGGATTCTCCTGCTATCATCACATTTGACAGCTGCTGTAGCAGCTCACATGACCAAACAACAATTACCTCATACATGTGGTACGCCTGCCGAAGGTGTTGCATTGGAGAGGGATGGGCCGAGTGGCACCTTACACTGATAGCCCACTATGAGACTGCTAACATCAATCACTGTGATATTACCCCATTCCCATATGTTGCTAGTGTGCCCATCATAACATGTACATCAATGTGATACTTTGTACGGTCACAAATCTGTGTTAACGCGAGCCACCATATTTAGTGTTTGACACGTGTCCGTCTCCGCACTGTGTAAAAGGAGCTTTATTTAAAATTCTAGATCTATAGTTATATGATGAGTCAATAGAAACATTTGATTACCCTGTGGAAGCTTTTCTTTTATAATAAAGAGACATCCATTGAAAATGTAACTTGGATAGGAAGAAGCGCTTGACCAACTTGACACGGAATATGTGTGTTGTCAAACAACATATAAATACCTCCTGAGCTAATTAAGGTTATTCATGACAGGGATTATTAGGATTTGAAAGGGGTACACTATGATAATAAAAAGCAGAATATGTTAAGTTTGGGAGGGTTTGGCTTCTTCTACATTTTTGTGTTTGTCTTTCTGTCAATTTTGCACTGAGTCATATTGTCCGGTACTGACACATTTACGTGATATCTCTGCAAGAATTTAAAGTCCATCTATTATGTTATTTATTGTGTCATACAAGTTGATCAATACAGCCTCACAGATCGGCTTGCAGGGCTGTATACTTTTTTTATGAAGAACATTTGACTAAATAGTATTGCCCTTAAAACATTAATAGTCAGCAATAAACCATGAAGTGGACTTTGTCATAGATTTAATAACTGAATGGTGGTGTATCTGGGGTCCTTAATAATGACTTTCCGATGTGACCTTACCCGTCCGCATGGCCATCCCAACAACGTTCCTAATATATTGCTGCAGGGGGTCCATGCAGAACTTCAATTATTTTGAAGGACATTCGGTGAAGGTCACACGTTGTGTCGGTACAGTATGTCAGGTAGAGTAGGGTTGTGCTAGGGTGTAGGTCAGCGCCGGCAGGACCCAGAAGACATTGCTGCCCAGGAGTTCATTAGCGAGCTGCTGACCTTATTTCCCGTGTGGACGATATTTAATATCAACGTTCTATTTCGGTGTGGAGCTAAGTTTAAAGGCGGGAGGCTTCCATGAAACATATGGGCCCGCAACGTTCTGCATCTCAGCATATTCGCTCGTGAACAAACTTGAGCCCAAGTCACGTCCGCTCGCTTTGTGTAGATTCCCAACAGCGACTGTGATGTTGTGAATGGACACGAGACAGCTTGTCTTTATGTGTATTGCATGCACATGTGAGTGAAAACAAACATATTCAATGGAATAGTGTTACTTCGGCCTATTTACAGAGGACTGCACTCTAGTCAGCGAGTGGCTTGTCCGTTCTATTTTAGGAAAGGCAAACAAATGCAAGAGCTCTTCACTCCCACGTCTCCTCTCCAGTTTCCAGACACTACCCTCCAGATCGTATAGCAGGGGCGTCGTTAGGCCTATTTTAGGGGGGCTGAAGCCCCCCTAAAATGTTCTTCAGCCCCCCCAAATAATTTGGCATTATTGGATTTAAAAAAAAAAAAAATGGTGATGTCATTAAATTAAACTATTGTTTCTCACATGGACAAGTTATTTATAACTCTAACATGCTACATATGTGCGTGCGTTCTGGTTTGTATGTTTTCTCCCCCTTCAAATTACAATCCAATAGCCTATCATCATACTTAACGATATAAAGTTGACGCTGTCAGGTCCATTCTCCATCCATTGTGTGCGGTCCCTTTAAGAATTAGGATTTGGGAGTGACGCGGATATGGAAGCTAGTTTATCCGTCTTTCCTTTACAAGCAGGAAAATTATTTCTCTCTTTATTTGAGAAAAGTTCATATTTCTGTTGTCAAATTTCACGATGCCCCTGAAATTCTGTCTCTTGTGTTATCATACACTGAATGCAAGCAAAACTACAGGGCAAAAGCACACTCTTTCTGATTGAACCAATTTATGAACTGTCTGAAACAATGGATATCCACGGCCCCAAATGGGCCCCAAAAAAAATTGCCTAGCGCTACGCACGCAAACATGCCACTACCCTTGGGGCTAAGCCCCCCCTTTCTTTCAATCCTAGAAACGCCCCTGTTATATAGTATACACGTATGAGCATGCAGGCACACACACACACACACACACACACACACACACTTCCTCCCTGTCACTGACCAACATCAATCACAGCGCGGACGTGCACCAACTGAGGACGTGGACGGGTGAGAGTGGCGCAGTGCAATCACAAGGCGCTCAGACGAGCTCCGAAATTAGAGCGTGTGGCCCAGCGCTCGGATCGGACTCCCTGGGAGGGTTTGTTGAATTACAGGCCGTATTTTTAGTGAAGGCTATGGGCTTCATCCCCGGAACCGCCGGCAGCTGAGGACCATCACTCACGCGCCTGTCTGCCCCCAGTTTGTTCAACGCCAGAGCTGTTAACACTTGTGTGCGTGGGTGTTTGTGCATATTTGGTTGAGCAGGAGTAATATGAGACACTTTATTAGAAACGGTTTACGGTTTTATTGCTTTGTGTCGTTACAAATTATAATTTACCTCCTGTGTTCTGGCTGAGGAGTCTGAAAATCATTCTTTGGATTGTGTGTGTGTGTGTGTGTGTGCGCGTGCGTGTGCGCGTGCGTGTGCGTGCGTATGACCGTCACAGGCAAGCTGATAGGCCGAAACAGGCAGTGTTTAGACATTGTCTGCTGGCCATGTCAGACATGTTGGTCGTGCGAAAATGTCACTGAGACGCCTCAAACCACACTGACACACATACACCCTCATCACATGAAAAGCTCAGCTGATTCCAAGTGGACGACATCATGTGGCACAACGTTACGCACTACACGTCGAACGTTGGATTAATCGAGTGTAGCTTTAGAGGAAACGTTACTGTTGTGCAATCGCTGCTGACTGTAACAAGGTCAAGATGAGGAGACATGAAGGTTTAAACATGGGAGAGGTTGCAACCAACATCTAAAGGACCGACGATCGATCCTCAATGGCATTTCTTATTTGAACATAATGGCAGCTGTTACATATTTCCTATTGTTCGCAGATTGTTCGCAGACGACATTATTTCACATTGTTGACAGTTTGAAGAGGAATCATGAAACAGATCACAGTCGCACCCATTGACTCCAAGTCATCTGCTTCAGCTTTAACCTTATGTGTGTGTGTGTGTGTGTGTGTGTGTGTGTGTAGCTTTTAGCAGAGCAGGAAATGAAAGCCTGTTTTCCACTGTCTTTACACTAAACCACTCCAAAGTACCTGAAAATGAAAAGATACTAGAAATGGTCACCAGTACAGTGACATAATGCAAATGACACTAACCGTTGATTGCAATGAAATTTGATGGTTCATTACACAGAACCAACTGAGAAGCCGTCATTGGAAACTGTTTGAAAAAGGGCAGGCACCCTAAGAAAACAATGATTTTGGCAGGTGATTGGATCTGTCAATCGAACTCTTGCCGCAGCCAGTCGGGAGAAGAGCGAAAAGACTTGGCAACTTAGATTTTGCGACTTTTGGATCTAGTTTTGCAAGCTTCTTTCATTGAAAAGGAGTTTGCAACATTGGACCGAATTTTTCATTTTTTAAATCCAGCTTACTCTTGCTGGATTCTACAGATGACCAGCCCTGCCTGTAACAACGCATGAAATACATTACACCAAATCAATAAGTGAACAGGCAAAGAAATTAAACAAAGTGCATGGGGCTAGACTGCACTGCCGCCACTACAATCAAATCAATTTAAACCAAACAATCAAATTTACCTACTCACAGCAAGCTAACGTGACTCAAACCACACAAGAAAGCACACATGCAGGTGGCTACTCTACCAACCCCAATACTTTGGTTTATGACCAAACACTTTGGTTTATGACCAAACACTTGTAAAACGAATGACACTCAGCTCTACTTTACTAATAATCAGCTAATTTTAGCATGATAGCATGCTAACCTAAGATGGTAAATATGGTAAACATTATGTCTAAACATCAGCATGTTAGCATTGTCATTATAAACATGTTAGCATGTTAGCATTTAGCTCTAATGACATGCTTAGCTAGGCCGCCAGCCCAACAGAGCAGCTAGCATGTCTAAGCCTACAATAACTGAATGTTTGGCTACTACCTGTTTTGGCTGACATCTTCAGCAAGCATGGAGCAACATTAGCATTAATTTGGAGTTCTGTTTGTGTCCAACTAATACATAAAAGTCCAATATTCACTCTCATTTAGCTGTAGCTTCTGAGGGAAATAGCTGGTTTAGCTGCTAAATGCTACACTATAGTCACCAGCAGGTCGTTAACTTTGTCTGTCGGCCGTTTGGTGCTAGGCGGCTGGTGTTAGAAGTAGCAATGCCATTGTGAATATAAAAACATTGAAATTGATTTTAATTGTGCCATTACTGCCTCATCCATCTCTGATAATTACACTTATTTTGCAATAGAGAGTATTGTTCATACATAATTAATTCATTGTTATCTGTGGCATAAATCTAGATATTTCTATGCCCTCCAATAACATTTTGTAATAAACAGTGAGTACTAATTTGCTGGCATCCCAATAATCACATTTTTTTGCTGTCTAAATATGTGAGAGAGGATACGTTTAAAAAAAAATAACTACATGTCAGCCAATGGCAGCTATAGTCAAAAATATTACTGATATCAGTTTGCCTGCAGAGGTGACAATTCTCTCTGATATCAGGCAAGATATCTGTGTTAGTCCTTCGATTTTTAATGCAAAAATTCTGAATCAATGAAATTCTGCTTTGGTTTACTGCCACCATTCTTTGCGCTCAGCTGTCTGCATCTTGCTTATTGAGCGTCATGTGCTGGCGAACACCTGCCCAACACACGTCGGACGACCGCCAGTCTGCGACATTTCCTCTGCTGGTCTATCTTTAGCGAGTACAGGAGGCGTACGATCCACGTTCCCTCCCGCGTCCCGGCCCGTTGTGTGTTTCTTTTCTTTTCTTCTGGTGACAGGAACTTATGCCAGACACTAACAAAAGGACAACACCCTTCCTTTCTTGAGGATGAAGGCAGGATGCCAAGACAGTGTAAACAACATAAGCACATTGCGCTGTTGTGGGAAACAGTGTCAAGCCTCGAGCCTAACATCCTGTGTACTGTCTTGGGCTTTTTCCATTGCACGTTTGATAAAGAAATATGGTCGCCAGGTCAGAGGAAAACACAGGGGACCAGATTTCTTTCATCTTGACACAAAAACTGTTTCTTGCCCACATAGGCCATCACACTGATGAACATTTAACAGGCTATATTCTTTACAGTGTACCGTTTTTTAAAACATATTAGTCCTGTCTGGTCTTTGTCTTTTTTGTCCAGCTTTGTTGTTCTTAGCTGTTATGTCCATTTCTGTGTACATACATTGAGAGCAATTCTGTGTCCACATACCTGGCCATCAAAGCTGATGTTGACATGACAATTTAACCCTCAGTATCTGATGGGGGGACAACAGAGGTTCAGTCAGGTAAAGTATAGAATCATGATTATGCAACCCTGATGCTGGCAGTTTGTAGTAAAAAGTATCAGACGAGTCAAAGATATAGCTGAATGATTAGTAATACATTTAAAGAGAAATGTGCTTTACACATGTCCTTTAACATCTAATCAGTTGACAAAAAAGCTGTTTATTTTTTCCCCTTATCCAGTTGATGAAATCAATTTAATTAAACCTTAATTCATTTTACTCCTCTCCATAGTTCATTCTATTTTTAACAACATCATTTTTTTTGGGGGGGGGGGGCGGTCTTGACACACATTTAGGGATATCTTTCCCATTCTCCCCACGAAACTTTTTTTTTTTCCTCGCCACATTTCCAATTCTCATCAGTGGAACGAATCGAGGGGACTGTGAAGCTGGTGGCTAAACACACTAAGCACCAACTTTTTCAGCTAGCTACCTAGCTGAAGCTAACTTTTGTCATAAAGCTAGCTAGTGCACGTAATGTGAATCCTCCATATAAACTCTTGTAACAGTAGCTAAATAGTTTTGTAAGGTAACGCAAACAATGTTAGCTAGCTAAAGGTAGACTAAACTATTTTTAAGTTCCAAAAACCGTAATATATATTTGTTTAGCTAGTTTTGTTTTGACTTGTGTAATAACCAGGGTATAGCCTAAATGTCAAATCTCATCTGAAAGCCCCAAAATGCTTTTGCTCGTGAGAAAAAAAATACATTCAGATTTAAATATGTATTTGAGATGTTTCTGTTTTTATAAAAAGAGATACGATTGATAACTTTAATTGCCAAGGTTTTCTTGTGTTTGTCATTTCATCCTATGAAAAGAGAAGAAGCATTTTCTTTTTAACTGATAAAAAAAAAATCTGTGTCCCTCTCATCCTTCTCCCAACTCACAGGCACCATCTGCTGGTCGTAGTGCATGACCTACTTTATAGAAAATCTGTCACATCTGGATTCCAGAGGAATTCATGTGGTGAAATGGCCAAATCGTACATTAACCCAAAGCAAATTCTGGGAATCGAAAATAACAGCAAAGAAAAGTATTGCATAGTTTAATACTGATTTATTTGTATAAAAGTGCAGAAAATCATAAATGTTAAACTGTGAGGTCATAAATATAGACAAATAAAAGAATAAATACACTAACCAAAAGAAATTGTAGTCTTTGAAGAATAAATAAAAATTATGTAGGATTTTGAAAATGTGGATCCCATTTTAAATTATTCTGCAGAGTGTTTGAACTTCTTATATGTACACATCACAGAGACAATCAATCAATCAAAATAATAAACATGATTTCTAATTGTAAATCCTGATGACGGAGCCATTATCAGAAAGGCATTTTATCCCCAGTAGCATGGATGTCCAGTCCCTCTCCTCCCAACCAGTCTTCATGTAGCTCCCCCAGAATCTCCAGCAGGGACAGCTCGGGCAGGGGTGCACACCGGACCCGTGCCGGGCGCACGGACTCCCTGCAGCCTTCCAGAGCGGCCCTGCTCCACGAGTGCTCCAGCTGCGAGTAGTGACTTTCCACTGGTGGACTGCTCTCCAGACTGGCATCCCAGTATCCAGAATCCGGGGTGTCTGGAGTCGAGGCGTGGGAGGTGGAGCAGGGCATGTACATCTGCTGCTCCGCTGATCCCGGATACACGATTGCTGCCTGGCTGTAGCTGGATCCGTAGCTTCTCATTTCCAGGGGAGAGTGGCACCACTGGGGTGGGACTGGGGAGGTTTGGCTGCCTGGCTGGGACCAGAAGCCCCTCAACGGCGTGCTGGAGCCGCATCCCAGCGGTCTACCCTGCTGAAGCCCGTACATGGAGCCGTAGTGTCCGTGCTCCTCAATGGTGGAGTAGGCTGGGGGGCGCTGTCCGTAGTAGCAGGCCACCTCCATCTCCTCCTTCACCTGGGTCGGGTAGGCCGGCGGAGGGCCCTGAGGCGGCAGATGGACGGAGCCGACCTGCGGGCCCATGCCGGCGACAACATGGGGTGGAGACAGGGCGTCACGTGCTGGGCTGTCAGACTGCCACAGAGCTTTCTTGGCTCCTTTGCACTTCAGGGTGCGAGCTCTTCTGTTCTGAAACCACACCTGGACAGGAAAGAAAGAAAAAAATAGAAGCTAAGATTCAGATGGGGACAAATAAACAAAACAATCTGCCCTGTTAATCATCTTCTGGGCAAACAGGCACCAGTGAAGCAGCGGGACAGCAGAATTAGTACAGCTGTCAGCCGTCAGAGAGCCTTGTTGTACAGTGAGCTCAAACAAGGGCCTGATAAAAACAGCTTGTGTCATCTTTAAAGATAAGACGAAGTAAAGCGATAGAGTGATAGCGGTATCTACAATTCTAAGCAGGATGCATTTGAAAACAGAGCCTTTCTTATGATAAGAAAGCGCAGAGTAAATGGCCTTACGACACAAGCTACACGGCCCTCTGTGTGTTCGGGCCTCCTGTGTGTGCTTACATGAACAGCACTGCATGTGTGCGTTTAATCTCGGAACAACACCAGTTTCCAATAATAAATAAAGATAATTCCTAAACTTATCTGAACAGTCAATTTCACTGACTCTAAGCAGCTCGGTTTAATTCATTGCATCATCATCACATCTGCCCCCTGCAGATACAAGGGCTCGGCTACATTATGAGGCAGGCTGGGCGACTGTGTACCTGGATGCGTGACTCCGGCAGGCCCGTGGTCTTGGACAGGCTCTCTCTGAGGCTGATGCCCGGGTACGGGTCGGTCTCGAAGGTGACGCGCAGGAGCTCAACGTGGTCCTTGGAGAAGCTAGTTCTCTTCCTGCGACTGGTGCTGCGATGAGAGCCGGCGCCGGAGGGCCTGGCATCATCTGGGGGGGAGAGAGAGGGGGAGCGGGTTCAACGTCAGACAGGATCCATAGTTGTTGTTGTTTTTTCTTTTCTCTAAGTTCTCCATAGCCTTCTTGTTGTTCTCTGAACCAGAGGCTGTTTAGTTACTCAACAGGTTTATTTCTAAAGCTGTAATTCAATGTTAATGCAATAATGAAAGGCACAGATTCAGAATGTTGAATATTCAGTGATAAATATAATTAACTGCCTTTTCTTTTCTGGTTTAAAAAGTTCAGACTCTGTAATATTTAAACAAAACAAAAAAACACAATAAAATTAAAGTTTTTGAATGGAGAAATAACAAGTATTGTGTCGATATCCAGCTATTTATCCATACGAATAAAGTGCTCATTTCTAAGTTCATGCTGTATCATGCTGCCTTACACAATAAACGATTATAATTTCTGGTTATCTATAAATTCTACTACCACTGTGTTTTTCTTTCACTGGTTATATCAAAGCTAGTTCTAAAAATGTCAAATTCTCAGAGAAGTTTTAGATTTTTAGCCGCCCTATTTAGTAGGTTGGTGAGTTGCCTTACAGCACATGCAATGGGTGCCAAAGTGTTTGCACGAATCTGAAATAATTCTGAGGAGGCTTCTCTGTTTTTGGCATCCATGGTGCTGTAAAACCAATTCCCCTGGCACTGCTAACTGTCTCATCCAGGGCTATAGATCCTACAAACAAAAGTCTACGAGACATGAAGCAAAACACAAAGACTGGTCTTGATGTGAAGATCACAAAGCATTTCTTACCATTGCTGGAGTCCTTCCACATGGCAGCAGTTAAATAAATGAAGAAGCTCTGGGAACAAATGGCTTTCCAGTGGACTTCTGATCTGACAGAGATCAGTGTGACACTGTGTTCCTCCACCGGGAGACTGTGACTGTGTCTCCTGCTTGCAGCAGGGTACCTTTTATATTGATCACCTGAGACTGAAGGCCATGGAGTGCCGGGGTGGGGTCTCGTTTTGCTTTGAGGATGGGTTCTCAACAGAAGTACTCTGGCCCTTCCAACCCCCCCGTTATCACCTCATACCTATCAAAGTGGCAGCAAGGTCAATGGCAAATATGACACACTGCGGAATGATCTCGGGAGAGACAAAGGGAAGCCTCTCAGTGATCGTCAGCCTCGTCGATACCACTTAACTCCAGAACTGTGACTGTTTTGTGTCTTTGTGCTGCTGAATATGTGACATATCAAAAGTATGCAAGGCCCAAAGACAGACATTCTTTTTTGTATCTTGCTACTATTTTATTGTATGATGACGTAGAAACCATTTAAATGTGTGTATATACAGTAATTATATATATTATTTATATATATATTATATATATATATACATTATATTATTTATATATATTTTTTTTTAAATATTTATATACATTTTTTTCATGGCACGGATACCAAGCACCAATGTTAAAGTAGATGTTTTAATTAAGAGAAGGATTACAAACATCTTTCTTAATATTCCAGGGCTGCCCTTTAATTCAAATGTGGCTGCTGTGAGTCATGTGATTGGTGTTCAGCACAAACATCGGCAGCTTTGCACACTGTTGACGCTGATCAACCAACAACAGTCTTGAAGAAATGGTTAACTCACAGGCCATAGCGAGACACAAAACGGCTCCTGTTATTTAGTTTTTTTCTCTTCACATGCAGAGCAGCTCACTGCTGTCACAAGAGGGTAAACAAAAGGGGGGTAATTACTCACTGATGAATTGGACTGTTAGACAGCAGCCTCAGTACGCAGAATAGCTGCATGAAAGCCAGTGGCAGGACTGTTTGAAATGGTTAAACATGTCCAGGCCTTCACCTCAGCTGTACGCAGATGCTTTAATATCAGAATGTCAAGCCTGTCGTCTATGCTCTCACATGCTGCTGGAACAATGCAATTACTTAGATGAAATATATATTAAATATATATATGTAATATATATATGTATATTCCTCCCTATGCTTTTTCACTCTAGTCTTGACCTTTGACTTCTTCCCTGTTGGTTGAATTGAATGATTCCTGAGCTGCATGTCAAATGCGTCCAAAATGTAAAAGGCTAACCTGCTGAATCTAAAGTCAAACAGTACTAAAGGGCAAAGTTCAGATGCAGATTTATCGTATTTGTAGGTGTATTAGAAAACAATGCAGCTTGAAGTCTACCCGGGGTTATCTAAGGCAGCAGAACAACCTAAGGCCGTCTCTTTTTCATCTTTATCTGGACAACTCGCAGAATCAATGTCTCCATGTGTGGAGACGGCTCCTGAAAGTCCCACCAACTCTCCCTGTGCTATATCCAAATCCTATCAGACTTTATACCACACACTGCCAACGATGAAGGCGGCCAAACTCCCTCATTTTAAAGTAATGATTTAAATGAATTCTGGATAGCCATATTAAAAAATACGTAATTTCACTATCTAATTAGTCTGATAAAATAATAAAAATGGGAAAGAGTCTTATCAATAAACCATTTCAGCAGATTAAATGCTTGATCTACCCCAGTTTACATACAATGATCGATTGATTAAAGATAACTAAGCACTGGTCCAGCATATAGGCTAATCAGCTAATGCAAAATCACTATAAAGAGCTTTGTTTAGTTTGGAGATCTGCATATTTTTAAAAGCAAAAAGTCATCTGATCATTTTAACTCTTCATGTAAATTGAGAAGCATAATCCCACAAACAGGAAAACTGCTGAGCTGCAGGGACTTGGCATAGAGGATGGCATCAACAAAACAGCTTATGGATTACTGTTTGGAAGGAATCCTGTAGTTTGATTAACGTGCATTTAGTTTGATTTTCATATTTGGAGTTTTAAATACAAACTTTATATAATAATTTGACACTTTTTAAATTTGGTAGTTGTGGACAAGCACACACAACTACAAGGTGAGAGGAAAGGTATGTCCTTTTTATAAACAAACTGTACAAAACAATGAATTATTCTGACATTATACATGACCTTTGGTGATTTTAATAATAGTTGGATTTTGTGTATGCATGAATAAACGGGTTGTACTGAATATACATAGTAGGGCCTCTGGTAGCGGTAAAATATATGCAGATGATTATAGAGTTTATTAAGTGCATCTTTTCTTATTTATTTAAATGCTGCTGCATACCTCCAAAATTACATTATTGGCATTATTTGTTTGGGAATATTAGTAGAAAAAAGTCTAATACAACACAATAGCGGTTGTAGGTTGTATTTCTAATACACTGCCCCAATATAGTTTCTGATCTAACTCATAGCCTGTCTGACAGAATATCTTTTCAGGGGCAATAGGACAAAGTGTTAAAAGACAGGGATTGTTACTTAATGCATCCCCTCGCACTAGTGTCTTACAGAAATATATATTAAATATTATAGTATGTGACCAATTTAAGTATTCGCAGAAGGTATAGTATTCATGCTAGAATCACCCTCTGCAAAATACTGTATTATTCCCTGCAGTATGGAATCATAAATTTGTAATCTCTACCTAAACATTATACCAGGACTGAGAACTATAGACAGTGTTTACTTTATAGTGTTGTGTAGCTGTTTTGCAGAATAACGTTTTTTTAACATTGTGGAACTACTTACAGTAGTATCCTGCACGACATGGCGAGGAACTAGGACAGAGCTGCGAAAAAAAGTACACGGATGTTCACTGAAACCACTTTTAATTATAAAATACTGAATATTTCCCGGTAACTGAAAACATTAGAATATTCTACCGGAAGTCGAATCTGTCACAGTGTTGGTAACTCCCTTAATGTCTTTAATATGTGCTCCCTTATCGTCTCTCATGTGCATTTATACAAGCTACTGCGTGGTGAAATCAACAAAGAATAAGGGGGCAACGTTGCAGTGACAAGTTATTATTAATCTACAATTTAATAAAGGCCTACATTTTATATTTATATGAACATTAAGAAAACTCCATAGTGATACACATGGCAGTTTCCGTACTAATTATTTAATAATGTAAGTAACACCCCGCATTCAAATGAAGAAAAAAAACCACGACCATCCTGTCCTGCCTCCCGTCGGCTCTCTTCTCGCCGCTACACGGTCGTATTTGACAGCGGGACCAGCGCAGCACGGCAGAACAGCAGCTATGGCTAAAAGTGATGGATGCGATTACTTTAAAAGAACCAGCACGTTTTGGATCGTCTCCGTGATACTGGGGATGGGATATTTCACTGTAAGTTCATCAAGCTATGAGTTGTAATCGAAATAAGATATAATAAGTGTAAAATCATCCCTGCACTGTAAATGCCGCCGCATTGTGTTGCGTAAAATGTCCTCCGGGTCGTGTACTATTTTCAAAAACGCTAGTGTCGTGAACCGCCGGGGAAGTTAACTTAACACTTGGTATTTTGTGAAAATGTTGTTGTGTTGCTTAAGTACTCTTCGTGGTCATTGTCAAGTCACGGTTTCGTTGATATCTAATCTTATCAGGATTATTTCAGTCCTCTGTGAGACCACAGTTCAAACTAACTTGTTCGTCCAAAGTCCATTGACCGAGTTAGCGGTCCACTGTAACAGCTAACTCTGGCTAATGTTTGCCCCGACACCGCCCGCTGTCTTTTAAAAAACACACCGCATCGTGCCAAACTCCATTCAAAATGTGATAACGTTAGTTTAATGCTCTTAATGCTCCCGTACTCTCGGGCAAATATATATATATATATATATATATATATATAAACTGGTCGCGAAATGCACCATTGGAACAATGAAGTTAGGTAGCCTATAGGTATTTAAGTTTTGTTTTAGCTAATGTATGTGTCATTGGTCAATGAAATATACGCCGGATTGACCATTAGGTAAAAAATATTCGCAAAATGTAACTTGTATAAAGAGTAAATCTGCTGTGCTAGGCAGAAAGGTAACATGAACCAACATGTATACTTTTACATGGAAGTTAGTGCAAATATTCATACAAATGGTCGCGTGTACTCGTATAGGCTATATTTAGCACCACTTGCCACGTACACAGTTATGTAAACAGGGTCCTTACTGCAGAACGAAGATGACAAATATTAAACAAGTTTGATTTATTTCGAAGTAATTTTATAATCAGTAATACATGAAGACACACGGCTCTGCCTTCCAAACCATAATGAACGCAGTCCCTGGTTTCAGGGGCCCATCCAACAGTCTCCCTTTGTGCCTCCCATGCACCAGTCATAGTCCACATGGACACATACCTGACATGTCACAGGTGGACAGGGGAGGACAATGGCAGCGTGGCACAATGCTACTTCATGTCATTTAGATTTCACTGGGACTTGCAGCCTGCTGTGGGAGTTTTCATACTCGGCTGAAGTGTGGCTTGAAAATTCAGATATGTCATGAAACAGTGAATAAATGCACATGATGTACAAATGACTTTGCTCCCTTTTAAAATATCTTCAAATTCATTGTACTGTTAGAGTCACTGATACAAATGGGATTTAATTAATGTTGTGGAAATTGTTTTAGAATAACTGCTTTTGAAATTAATAAGTGAGCAAAACAAAGGATTATTCTTCAAGATAAATAGTGTTTGCTCCCTAATCCTTATTCAAAATGAGGCTTCTATCCGTAGAGTTAACAGCCTAACAACACGTCTACTCATTTGATTTCACATGACGAAAACTTAAAGGCCAACCCATGAAAAAAAAACAAACATGGTGCAGAACTGATTCTCCTCCAGAACTGCGTCAAATTTCATTTCGGTGGCACATCTCTCAACAAGGCTGCCCTTTGTGGTTACTACGGCTGTAACACATAGTATACAGCTCATTATTGTTGCTGTATATCTGAAACAGCAACTCCCTGCCTGAGAGCAGACAGATGATATGTAGAGCTAACCAGCGTTGGACGCCTTGGTTAGCTGTAGGACATGGAACGTGTTCAGTCATTATCGGCACAAACAGACCTTTGACTTCAACGTCACGTTGAAGGAGCCCTGAAATTCTGGGTAGATGTGTTTTGGGCTAAATATGTTATGAAAACGTCATGTGTATTAAATAGGTTATTGTAGGGTCATTAAGTGTCAAATTACATAGAGGTTTATGTTTTGTATTTTGTTCAGAATTCTAAATGCTATTTGACACCGAAAAATAAATCTCGTAAAAATATTCTCACAGAATTTGTTTTTTAGAATTTCTTAATTTTAATTATTTTTTTTGCCCACATGAATTTTGGCATTTTCACACCTTAAAATGTGTCTTAGACAGGAAGCCGTTTGCAGCCTTATATTTTGTTCAATATGAATATGAAGATAACAATATGGCCACATATAGACCACTGGTCCTAGGAATGAGTCCACGCCCCCATCTTTGCCGTCTATTTATAGATTATGTTTATGTTAGAGCCCCTGAAATCTGGTACACCAATCAAACTGTATTTTTACGTCCATATTATTATACTTCGTGGGACTGCCTGTGGCCCAAAATATGCATTATTTTCACCCATTTTAAGGGCCAGAAATGAAATACACAGCATCTGCTTGTGCTTTTCAATCAATTGGATCTGCTGAACACTACTTCGTCTGTGCCTTTACCGAATCTCATGGCTCTTAAATGTTAAATCTCTAAAGATAGTGAACCGTAACAATTGCTTCTTTTTTTTTTTTTTTTGGATGACAAAATTACCCAATTCCAAGGGGTGAAAAAAAACTATGAAAATCTCAAAAATTGTGCTCAAATATTTCACAGAGCTTATCTTGTGGTGTCAAAAAGCACATACACACAAAGTTCAGGTTTCTCTCAACTGCACAGGTTGTGTGGGTTAACGTTGCACTACTCCGCTACTCTGTGTGTGTTGCAGTGCATCGTGTTCGCACCGGAAACAATCCCATTTCAGTACCTCGGTCCATTTGGCAGCTTCTGCAGACACCTTGTGGATAACTATGCTGGCCTTATGTATAAAGGGTAAGTGAACACACTGCTAACAGGAGGTTGGGGGGGGGGGGGGCAGGGCAGAGTGTTCTTGTTGATCACATCCTTAGGGTAAATACACTGCAACTCGATTACTCTTCTTAAAAGCGTTGTGGTGTTGCCTAATTAGAATGAAAGGCAACCGACAGATTTTCTTTTTACAGCAGAGCAGCATCCGTGACGATCAAACGATGTGCAAAGTACCCTCACAGGGCTGAGACGCGATCAGCCACAGCCATTTACACCTCCACTGGTGGGGCACTCTGCTAATTAGGCCTTTAAGTCACGTGACCTGCTGTAGCACCAGCAGAGGATTAGGACGGCGAGTATCGAAAGATGAATGTTTTGTTGTCGTCATTTGAGTCATGTGACGTGCTCCGGTGTTTGGATGTTTGGGTGATGTAATGGCGGCCCGGGGTGTTACTCAGCTCTGCTTGAGGGAAGACAAAAACGTCAAGTTCCGCCATGTTCTCAGACCGCGTCACTGAATTTAAACTTTCAAAAACTTTATTGCAATCGTGACCTCGACAGAATATAAAATGAGAATCCAGAGTCCGATGAGTGTTACACATGTCTGTCTGTTGCAGGTGGTGGGCCGCCTGGGCGATCCACGTGTATGAGGCCTACCTTGCATTGAGGATGTGCAGGTAAGGATGACAAGAACCCGTCACATTTGTCCACTAGATGGTGATGTGATCGCATTTTTGACAAACCTATTATGAAACGGACTCACTCAAATGCTCTAACTGTCAGAATAAATAAGCATCTAAAAGCTGCCTTTCTCACGTGTTTTCACCTCGTGCTTCAGCTTGTCATCAGTATTGTTTTTTTACAAAAACAGATGAGGTCATCTTGACTGCAAATTGTCCAATTTTGATCTTTTAGAAATGACAAGCATTCCTCGCATTTTACTTCTCTAATCATTTGTTCTTCATCGCGTATTGATGAATTTGTCCGTAGAAATAGAATTTTGGACGCAGTGAAACGGCTGCTGGCTTGACTTTGGTTCATTGTGTTCTTGTCCGCAGTACTAAAGGCATCAGCGACACGGCCACTCGCTGCCTGTGGTTCGTCCAGACCTTCCTGTTCGGCTTCGCCTCCCTCGGCCTGCTCCTTAAGTACGACCCCGAGCGCCCCAAACAGCACTGACTCCGGCCCACCGAACAACACTGCATGAGCTGAATCCAGGAAGACAATCGCTTCCTTGTGCCTCTTCTTCTTCCTTTTCCTCTTCTTCCACCATCTTTCCTCTTTGATACGAGGAAGACACCTGAGCCCTTTCTCTTCCTTTTAACATAAAAGTATTGAAGTGAAGTGTTTTTCCTACGACAGACACAACATCTCCACTTCATTCCACAGATTTTATTTTAACAAACCGTAGACGTTTCTTATCGATAATAATATTAACGGAGATTATTTTTAGCATCAGAGTTCTCTTGATGATTGTGGCCTGGGCTGAATATTTAGTGCAATACAAGGGGAATCTTTTAAGATGAATGATTTAGTCCTCTCTTGATGTTTACATTCCGCCTGGCTGATAGCATGATATGCTCTTCAGCTGCTGTGATGAAGACGGGTTGGCTGCAGATGGCACGCTGCCGTCAGCCTCAAACGTTCTCCGGGAATGAAATATAAAGAGAGCTGCTGTATGCCTTTCACGTTCCCATTTACTGTACACAGACTGGAAGCTCTTAATGTTAACACTGCAAAAATAAAGAGTGACTTAACAAAGTGAATGAAATGTGCTCTGCTTCATCATGTTTCATTCCTCTTGACATGCTCCGGCTTCATTCTTTACTTTAACACCTGTGCTTTTCCTACTAAGACACTGTGAGCACTCAACATGTCTGCTGTGAAAAGGCTCTTTGGCTCTTTAGAAAGGGAATTAAGTAGATCATTAAAAATAATCACAAGTCTCTAGTTTTACAACGAGCCATCAGGTCTGCAGTTATGAATGTTAGGAGGTCATTAAAGGGTTCTTCCACTGAGATCCTTCATCAAGGTAGGTATGCATCTGCTCTCAATCCTCTTCTCTTAGGATCTTACACGTCCAGACACTGGTGGTGATGAAGATGATGATGAGTAGCATGATTGTGGTGCTAGAGGTGACTGGGGTGGAGGAGGGTCGCATCCGATTATGCTGAAATGACAACTGACAGCAGCAGAGAGAACACTTATAAAGGTTGACAGCAGCGATGTGATTGGCTTAAAGGAAACTGCAGAATCTGGTTAGTTAATTTAAAGTGAACGCCCACAATCAGAGAGCTTATGAATGAAAAGGAGAGTAAAGAGAGTCTTCTGGACTGATCTTCCGCTTCAGCTTCATTTGTACACATACAAGAATAATAAAGCAATGTTGATTCTTTTCTTATTTAATTGTATATTTTTCTCACAAAATAATCAAAAAGAACCGATAAGAGTATCGATAAAATCCCAACGATACCCATCCCTATAGTCATAGTATGGCATGTTGATAAGTCTTTGAAGTGTAATATTATAGCACGTTGAAATGAAAAAGAAACGTCATAATAATGTATGTCAAAATAAGTCATTGTATTTTATGTCGAAGAAATTCCATAGTAAACACAGTATAGTCTGTCGATTAAAGTTATAAAAAAAGTCAAAGTATAGATTCAAGATGTTTATTGCCACTGTTATACAGGTTCAATCATGTGAAGCGCTTTTGCTGTGAGGCTCCATAAAAACAAGATGACCAAGACATATAAAAAATATTACAATAAATATAATGTAAAAAAAATGTAAGAAGTACTAAAACATCCATCTAAGAAAATGCAAAAGAAACAATCAATAAAGATGTTGCATATTGTACAGGGGTTAGATTTCACTTTGTGTTTGGACAGCAAAGGAAAGTAACTGTGTGGTTGAGGCTCATAAATAACCACAAATTACCAGTCTGAGAAGTTTAGAATCTAGAAAAGGTTAACCTCAGCACACATACATTTAAGTGTCATGTTGCATCTTTGTCGTAGAAATGTTGGAGACAAAAGTAGTCCCAATTTAAATTTTATTGTTCAAATAAAGAAAATGTCACATTGTGATTTGCTTTTAAACTACTCAGCTCAATATACTGTCTTGTTATTAAGTGCCAGAACGAGCCTAACTTCTTTGTATTTGAATCACAGATTGTGAATATAAGTTATTGTATCATGCAATCTGCTGACAGTATGAAAAACATCAACTGTGCATGACTGCGGATGATAGTAAACTCACGCACACAGATGTTTAAAGATACGAGATTAAAGTATTGATCTTTATTGAAATAAGGTTTTAGGTCAATTGTACAGATGCTGATCAGCCTTCAACGTTGCAGCTGCAGGTTTTGTTTTTATCACGAGATTCCGCTGATTCCGCTGATTGCCCTGATGACGTCACGTTTGTAAAAGCCCAAACCTCTCTGAATGAACAGCTCTCTCGCCGGGTGCGGTGGCGCGCGCCTGTAATCCAAGTTACCGGGAGGCTGATTATGGCGGGAGCCCAGGATTACCAGGTCCTCTTTGGCGGGGAGCACCGGCCCAGGTCTGAGACGGAGCAGGTCAAAGCCTCCGTGGTGCTCAGTTGCGGGATTACACCTGTGATGAGACAACACGTTCTCACTCCCAACTCGTCAAATACCAACGCTTGGTCAGCGGCCCTAAACTTCAAACTCTGACGCTCTAGGTTTCCCTCTAGCGTTAGCTCTGGACGTGTCAGGGACAGCATGGTGTGTCAGCTTCTACTCGTTACATGCATGGTGTCTTTTCAAAATAAACTAGCAGGAGACCATCGAGTCATGTGACCAGTCGTTAGTGTCTAATATCTTACATAACTAATGACAATGTAAAAAATGTGAACGTTTACTTTTAGTTTTGTACGGGACTCAAACAGCGACCACTTGGACAAAAGCTCTGTGTTTATTTAACCCGTTGACCCTCCTCACACCTGCACACCCTGTGTGGACTATCTCACTCTTAGACCACGTCAGTTGCTCTGACCATAACGGTTTTGACTTGATGGACCTTTTACACAGAAGACAATGAATGACGGCTCTCTGGGACACTTGAACACAACACAGCCATGTTAATGTTGTCAGTAACACCTGTGCTTTTCCTACTAAGATCAGACACTGTGAGCACTCAACATGTCTGCTGAGAAAGAGCTCTTTGGCTCTTTAGAAAGGGAATTAAGTAGATCATTAAAAATAATCACGAGTCTCTCGTTTTACAACGAGCCATCAGGTCTGCAGATATGAATGTTAGGAGGTCATTAAAGGGTTCTTCCACTGAGATCCTTCATCACATTATCTGCTCTGAATCACAACGTTGTGAAGGAGCGCAGGAAACGAGGGAAAGTGATCTTTTTTCACTGATTGAAATGTCCTCTCGTCCTTCCTCCCTCTTCACGTTCTCTCCTCCTTTTACATTACATTACAGTCATTTAGCAGACGCTTTTATCCAAAGTGACTTACAATAAGTGTATTCAACATAGGTATTCAAGAGAACTACGAGTCACCAGAAGTCATAAGTGCATCTCCTTTTTTAAACAAGCATCTAAGAGCATAAACCAGAGCATAAACCAGAGCAAGAGTACAGTGCAGAAACAAACTAATACAAATACAATAAGTGCTGAGTGGAAGGCTCAGGGTAGTACTTCTTGAAGAGGTGAGTTTTCAGCCTGCGCCGAAAGATGGGCAGCGACTCTGCTCTCCTGACGTCAGTGGGTAGTTCATTCCACCACTGAGGGACCAGGACAGAAAAAAGCCGCGACCGGGTCAATCGGCCGCAGGGACCTCTGAGCGACGGGGCAACCAATCGCCCCGAGGCAGCAGAGCGAAGTGGTCGGGCGGGGGTGTAAGGCTTGACCATGGCCTGGAGATAGGAAGGAGCTGTTCCATTCACTGCCCTGTAGGCTAGCACCAGAGTCTTAAACTGGATGCGAGCTCTTACAGGGAGCCAGTGTAGAGAACGGAGAAGGGAAGTTGTGTGGGAGAACTTGGGGCTATTGAACACCAGGCGAGCTGCAGCTTTCTGGACAAGTTCCAGAGGTCTGATGGCCGACACCGGGGCTCCGGCAAGTAGTGAGTTGCAGTAGTCCAGGCGGGAGATGACAAGAGCCTGGATGAGCACCTGCACCGTCTCGTCAGTGAGGAAGGGGCGAATCCTCCTGATGTTGTAGAGCAGGAATCTGCAGGAGCGTGTAACTGATGAAATGTTTGCTGAGAATGACAGTTGGTCATCCAGGGTCACACCCAGATTCCTCGCAGTCCGAGTTGGCGTCACCACGGTATCATCAATGGTGATGGACAGGTCTTGGTGCGGGCAACCCTTCCCCGGGAGGAACAGTGGCTCGGTTTTGTCCAGGTTGAGCTTGAGGTGGTGTGTCGCCATCCACTTCGATATGTCAGCCAAGCATGCAGCGGTGCGTGTCTCCACTTGAGTGTCACCGGGGGGAAATGACAAGACCAGATGGGTGTCATCGGCATAACAATGGTAAGAGAAGTCATGCGAGCGAATAACAGAACCCAGAGATGTTGTGTAGAGCGAGAAGAGAAGGGGGCCCTGGACTGAACCTTGTGGAACCCCCGTAGTCAGCATGCGTGGTTCCGACACGGCCCCCCTCCATGTCACCTGGTAGGATCGACCTTTCAGGTAGGATGCAAACAGGGAGAGTGCAGAGCCTGAGACACCCATCCCCTCGAGGGTGGAGAGGAGGATCTGGTGGTTCACCGTGTCAAATGCCGCAGACAGGTCCAGGAGAATCAGGACAGAGGAGAGAGAGTTCGCTCTCGCGGCGTGAAGCGACTCTGTCACCGCAAGGAAGGCTGTCTCTGTCGAGTGACCCACTTTGAACCCGGACTGGTGGGGGTCCAAGAGGCTGTTCTGGTGGAGATAGGAAGACAATTGGTTAAAGACAGCACGTTCAAGTGTTTTGGATAGAAAGCAGAGAAACCGGTCTGAAGTTCTTGACATCAGAGAGGGTCAAGTGTTGGTTTCTTCAGAAGGGGGGTGACTCTGGCAGTCTTGAAAGCCGTGGGAAAGCATCCTGAAACAAGAGATATGTTGATGAGGTGGGTGAGGAAAGGAAAGAGTTCAGTCGCAATAGACTGAAGAAGAGGGGAGGGGATCGGGTCAAGGGAGCACGTGGTGGGGCGGTTAGATGTAACAAGGTTAAGGACCTCGTTAGGGGAGAGGGGAGCAAGATAGGGTAAGATGGGGCATGGAGGGGGAGGGAGAGCTGAGGGGGAAGAGCTGGACAGGGTCTCTCCATTCTCTCCTTCTTCCTCCCCCCTCTCGTCCTCTCGTCCTTCCTCCCGCCTATCAAACTAGAGACAAAAGGCTGGTTTCTCCGTAAAATGGAGGGTCCAGCTGTCTGAACCTGATCAGCTGATCAGGTCCTACAGCGTCAGGTTCAGACAGAAGGAGGAGAGGACGGAGGATGAGGAGGAATCGGTCTCCCCCAGATCCACGTAGGATTACAGAGCTACAGGTTCAGTCCACTACAAGGAGGTTGGTGCAACATTTCATCATCTTGGTCTGAAGAGTTCATTGTGTTCATCACAGCAGCATAAACATCTCTGCCACAGGGCTGTTGACTGGAACTGCTTTGATTTGTTTTGCTGGTGACAAAGACGTCTCGTCATAAGAAAACAGTATTTCTGTTCTTCACTTTTCGCATGACGAGACGTCTTTGTGGCAGAATTTAAAGAGCTCATCATAACTTTGATATTTCACTCAGGCTG